ATAAAATGAGTATACGAAGCGAAAGTAATAAAATGAGTATAAGAGCCCCTTAGCAAGACCTTGAAATCGTTCAAAAACGTCGCCTAACTACGAAGCCATTTAATTAGCGAATAAACTTAACTCCATCCTCCATTCTTAAATTCCTCCTTAATTCTTCGTTTCTTGAATCTTTTACACTTGAAGGAAATGTGTCTTGGATCCTCCAGGCATTGGCATGTTGGGCAGGAACCACTCTTAGCTTTACCCAATAGGGTGACCACTTAGTGGTCTATACTAGACGATATAATTTGAGAATATCTCAAAAACTATGAGGTTATGCTCAAAGATTGTTCAGTACAACATTAAAGTGAATTAAAATCTCTACAAAAATGATCTTATGCATTTTTTGATAAAACCAATAACTACAGAGATATTTATGAGATGATGTTTATTGTCGTTTGTCATCCTAAATGTGAAGTGCCATATTTTATGGAAACCAATTGAGACAAAATCATAAAAGTGCATCTGCCTCTTGGATAATATTTTTATTGATTAGGAAGGCATCGATTTTGACGAGGAGCAAATACCATATATCCCATGTGGTGGCTTGATCTTAGAAGGATGGGGGTTATATGCTCAGGAATAGTAGGAGTGATGAATCAATTCTGGACGTCTAGGAAGCGTGTGAATGAAGTTATATCTATTAAGAGTTGATATCGTTATCTTTTAGAATTGATATGAAGTCTGTGAGAAAGTACTCATTAGCTGAAATCGGTTATTGTTTCCTAAGTCTTGATAAGTGTCTTCTGTCCAGTCAGTACATTCTAGATAACTATTTCTAAGCCATCAGAGATAGCTTGACCTGGCTATCTAGGGCTTTGTTATTTTATGATTGGCATATTAAATATTACGTGGCATATTAAAGGTAAAATAATATTATCATTATTAATATTTGTTACGGATTAAGTCCATTCCGTAACTGTACGAGGATCCTCGTATTTCTACGAGATTTTAACGCATTGTACGAGGTACGAGGGTCAACTAACCTTTTACATCATTTTTGCTTACGTATACAAAGTTTTTTTTTTTTAAATAAAATTTAGATTACAATTATTTTCTCTACTTTTTTTTTTATATTAATACTAAATACGTAAATTTTATTGCTTCATAGAAGAATAAATTGCAATTATATTAACTTTCATTGGAATATGATTGTTATTTCCTTAGTAAACAGTGTTTTTTTTTTAAATTTTCTGGATAAATAAAAATATAAAAATAATTGTTACTGAAATTTAAAAAAAATTATTTAATAATAATAATATTAATTTTTATTAATTTATATAATATTTTAACCAGTTGCCAACTTTCATTTTAATAATTATAGGAATATTGAATCCTTTAAAAAGTTTATTTTGCTATTTTAATTTTTATAGAAAGTTTTAGAATAGTTTCTAAACATATACGCACTTATATATGAGCTTTTCAGTTGACAGAATGACCCAATTGCAACATATTTGATTATTAATTTTAGTGATATTTCTAGTGGAAAAATGTATACCTTTATTCACAGTTCTAAATATTCAAAACTGCAATCACCTACTCTGCAATGAACACACCCACAGTCTGTACAGATATAAATTTTCCAACCAGGAAAATCACAAAAATGCTGAAATTGGAGTCAGTAATTCTGTCAACTGAAAAGCTCATATATATGTTTTATTAAACACATTTTGTACCTTACATTAAACTAATTTTACTCTTGACCTATTAACATTAAAAACTAATGTAAAAATATATGAATAGAACAAATAAGCAACGATCTAACATAATTTGTCTTTGAAAAACAATAACATTCAGCCTACAATAGTAGGAATTTTTAATGAGCAAGTATAAGAGGATATACAAGGATTTGTCATAGCGCGCGCGGCAATACTGTTCATAACTGTGAAAAATGGGCGAAATTAAAAAAAATTCATTAGTGTGTTTAAAGTAGAAAATAGCGTTGCTGAAACATTTATTAGAATCCTAAAACCAGGTGAATATACGACATTATCACGAAGACAATATTACGACATTCCTGATTCGTTGTATTATATACTTTTTGGTGTCCTGATTAATTATAGAAGTCATTTATTTTAGTAAGATATTTTACTATGAATTTTGATAAAATAAAAACGTTAAAAGGTTTGACGTATTATCAATTATATTACCGCTCATTCATCGATAGTTTAAATTTCTGATGTTGACTAGCTATGATAATGTAACAATTATTGGTATCATGCTGAAAGCCGTTTTGGGGAATCTTGGAAAACAATATACATCAGCCCCAATCTTTTTTTTTTGTACTAATTTATGATACCATTACTACATGTGCATGTAGCTTCACTTAAGTGGTCTTAAGAGGTATTAAATGTGGCATGCGCAATAGACAATTGTACATAAATAAAATAAGTATATATTTTAAAATATTATTATTGTCTTTATAAGTTACTTTCCTTATCTTTAAATTGTAAATAGCCCTTATGATTATATTTTCTTTTTTCCTTGCCTATATTTTATTTTTTCTGTACCTATTGATAATTGTACACCTTTCTTTCTGTAAACAGATTAGACTAATTTGAAGCAACATTTTTATTCTTTGTTCCATTATAAATAAAATCGAATCTTTTTATCTAAAAGCCAGCATGATACCTTTGTGCAAGAATTTTATGAAGGCCCAATAGTAATAGGTATTTATTAAAATTTTATGTTTTGTCTTTTTGGAGTTTAAAGACGAAATGACAGAAATTGCTAGGCACTCAACAAGTCAAGTTAAATTCACAATAGAAAATTGTTATTAAAAATTTTTTTTTTCATTTATTTGGGTCCCTGTCTACCAAAGGACGGTCCAATCTCCATTTTATAAATTATACAACTGTTCATTTAATTTGACCACTATCCAGATACCTATCCTTCCATAATAAGCTTCAGAATCACCCCAACCCTCTCGTTTCTAACCTTGCTTCCTCTTCAATTCCTCCCCTCCGAGGCGTCTGAAAAGAAGATGGCCCCGTGATCTTTTTATATAGACATATCAATAGAGTGCAACCATCGGTTGGTTACTCAGCAAGTGCTTTAATGTCATTATATACATATGTTCAAATTTACTAGATGTATTTATTTAATACAGTTGTAAATATCATTAAGAAATAATAAAAAAAAAATGTACCCCTCGTTGCTCAAATTGTATAAATTTAATTGACATGTATTCTGTAGTTCAGATTGTGTTATTATTTGTATCAACATAAAATAAACTGAACGAAACCACTGTCCGGACAAATTTTTAATTTATTTAAAAATCAATATAATACAACACGCCTTATTGCCAATTTATATTGTTATATAATTATAATTATTCTTAATGGCAATTTGTAAACATGATACATACTCAACTTGTCCATCTCCTTATAAGCAAACAATAATTTAAGCCTTTTATTTCTAATATTTTCATTGTTCGTTATATTGTGATTCATTTTCTATTTAATTGTGATTATATCAACATATAATATAAATAATATTATACATAATATAACAATAATTAATACATTGTATTCAAGGAGAAATGTCTAGATCGACAAATAACTGCTGTCAAGTAGGTAAAATCAAACTACCACTTCCAGATGAATTGGACCATTTCCTGTACAAATGTTTAGTATAAAACATTATTTTGTATTAGGATAGTATTAGGTAACAAGAGCTCAACACATATGTGATGAAATGAACAGCTGTGCGACTGTAAGAAAGACACCAGGGTGTAAATCTCTATTTTTATTATGAACGTGGAATAGTACGTGGTACAGACCCCTATTTATCTAATTATTAACATCCGTCTGAAAATTCGTGAAATCGGGCGTTTTTAATCTGGAGGAGGGGAAACTATGTCTATTTAATTAGGTACTAAAAACTCGTAAATACCCATTTGCTTTCTACTTGGATCGTAAGATAATTTGATCACAAAATCTAGAAAAAAGGTGGCCTTCACAAATATTGACCCATTTGACGTGACCTATAGTCCCAAATTGTCGAAATAACGAGGTTATATAGGATAAACGGTCAAATATTTTTGTAGACCACATTTTTTATCCAGATTGAAAACGCCCCAATTCCAAGAGTTTTCGTAAACAAAATAGTTGTAGAGTTAACGAATCGGAGGCAGTGGAGACTTTATAAATAATGCTTTTATTCATAAAGTTACAAATGGCATCTAATATACAGAGTAATATACTACGGGTTGACTACATCAGTTCACTCCAGGTCTCCTGCAGTAAAGAGTATGACATCAAGAATGCAACTGCATGAGTGATTTGGTCTGAGGATCATGGGGGTTATATGCTCAGGAATAGTAGGGGGGGGGGGGTGAATCAATTCTGGACGGTCTAGGAAGCGTGTGAATGAAGTTATATCTATTAAGAATTGATATCCTTATATTTTAGAATTGATATGAAGTCTGTGAGGAAGTGCTCATTTGCTGAAAACGGTTATTGTTCCCTAAGTCTTGATAAGTGTCTTCTGTACATTCAATACATTCTAGATAACTATTTCTAAGCTATCAGAGATAGCTTGACCTGGCTATCTAGGGCTTTGTGCTTTTATGCTTTGATATAGGTCATGAGGAAGGTCAATGCATGATTAAATGATTAAATAAAATAAAACTTAATATTAATAGTTGTTACGGATTAAGTCCATTCCGTAACTTAGGTTACGATTAGATGAAACTATTAACGAAGCTTCAGGCGGATGTTAATAATTCCAAAAAAAGGTCTGTACCACGGACTATGAGACTACAGGAGCTCGACAGGTATGTAATTAAATGAACAGCTGTGTAAATAGTACTAATTATAGAGATAATAGGAGCGCACCAGTAATCTCATACTCTCCTAATACTAAGATAAAATAAAATATGGCATACAATAGAAACTATTTTATATAATAGAAAGATTAATTTTTTTGGTCATAATAAATATTTAAAAAAAATAACGTACCCCCTCGGATTCGTTGTGAGGTGGGGTAAAGAGGCGGAGGCGGTGAGTGTTGTGCGGCTGGGTAGGGATCGTAGTGGAGCGCATTAGCGTGGCCGTGTCCTGCTGGGGGTCCACTGCCTTGCTCTCGTTCCAGATCCTACAATATCTCCTAGACTGAGCACCAGCCTGCAACAATTTATTAAAAAAATATTATTACAAAAGAAACAATAATAACATTGACAAAAAAAATTAAATTAATAATAATGAGGGTATTGCCGCCGGTCATCTCTGCAAATGGTCTGATTCCGAACATAACAGTGGGCCCCATGAAGGAATTAGGCCATTCGATGAATTTTTTGGAGCTGATGCGGAAAGCGGCACAGCAAATATTAAACTTTTAGGAATTCTCTCGTTACTGAGCCCAACAACTTCACAAGCCCATTTGATTCGCCGCATCGAAATTACCTCAATTATATTACCCGGATACAGCTCACGCAATTCGGCGTTGTGTAACCGTCTGAACTCTCCGGTTAACTCATCCTTCTTCGGTCCGAATATTCTACGCAATACTTTATTTTCAAAAACCTTAAGACGCTGCTCATCCCTTAATGTAAGCGGCCAAGTTTCGCATCCATAAAGAACTGTAGGCAAGATAATTATTTTATAGATTCTAATTTTTAAGTTCCGGGACAAGAGGCGCGAACTAAGTAATTTTGTCACAGACAAATAACAAGCATTTCCCGCCTTCAGTCTAACCTTAATCTCTTCTTCAATTTCGTTTTTTTCTAGTTATCGAAGAACCTAGATACCTAAATTTATCTGCATGTTCAAACATATTACCATCTATATCGATATCACCAGTAGTATCGCCATTTTTGCAGCTAACCATATATTTTGTTTTATCCACGTTTATTTCGAGTCCTAGTTCTTAGTAAACATATATACAACCAGTAAATTTGCTATATGAATATATTACATGAAGGTACTTGTGAAGAAGCTACCCATTAGTAACACTACAAAGATTAATTAATTTAGGAAATTTAGGAGGTCCCTTTGCCATCTTCTTTTCAGACGCCTCGGAGGGTTGTCAGGAATTGTGTTGGATGAAAGGTTACAAAATAGAGCGATAGGGGTGACCAAAGAGTTTGGAATGAAAGGAGGTATATCTAGTTCCGGACAAGTCTTCCACAACAGGAATGTTGAGGTCTTCATGGATAGTTGTATTTGTTACATAATAAGGAGCATTTTGGATTTTACGGAGGATTTTGGATTGTAAGGATTGGATACGGGAAGAATTTGATGTGTTTGTAGAGCCCCAAAGCTCAATACCGTTTGTCCAAATGGGCCTGATGATGGTAGTGTAAATGAGTTTTTTTTGTAGAATATTGGTTTTGGTTGAACGTTTAGAGCGTTTGTCGACGCGATGGCACTGCTGAATAGTGGAATGAGATGTTCGAAATCCAAACTGATGGCCAGGAATCAAATGATTTGAGTCAAGGATTGGGTAAAGGCGTTTTAATATAAATGTTTCTAGTATTTTTACTATGATGGGAAGTAGGGAGATAGGACGGTAAGAGAATGGGTATTCAGGTGACTTTTTGGGTTTTAGAATCATTTTTAATCTGGAGAATTTCCAAGGATCAGGAAAATAGGTGGTTCTAAGTACTGCCCTTGACTTAAGTCCGGGTAATGTGCTTTAACCAAATGCTGTGAAACAAGGGATTTCCCTAGAAAATAATAATTATAATAATAAAAAAAGTGGATATGTCATTGATTTAGCGGTCCCATCTGATGATAATATTGGAAAGACTATTTCTGAAAAGATTAGGAAATATCAAGACTTGTGACAAGAACTTAGGGAATTTAAAAAAAACTGAATCAACTCCAGGTATATCCAATTGTGATTTCCAGCAATGGCCTCATTCCAGACGATACCATTCGCTCTGTCGAAAATTTGAAACTGCCAGAGAAAGTGTTGGAAGAAGAGCAAAAAGCGGTTCTCCGAACATCGCCAGGAAGTTCTTAAACATAGTTTAACTTTTGAGCCTCCAGGGCACAATTATAATGGGATGAATATTAATTTAAACCTTCTTTACAAATCAGTAAACAAGGTACGTACATTTTTATTATAACAAATACAGTTGTATATTATAAAAAATATAGAAAAATTTGATAACAAATATCCTAAATGGCATGTTATCTTTAAAAGGTTAGGTAATTTTTCAATTTTACAATCTATTTAAATTTAAATCAACATGTTATCAATTAAATATATAATATATTTAAAATATACAAAAATTATATTAAACGAACAAAATTAAAATTTCTCCATTCAGTTTAAATCCTAAAAGGTAACTCTTTCCAATCCTATCTTCCTTTAATTTTTACCTTCTTATTTGCTTGAAAGATATGCTATTGAATTTTCATATACGATTTTAAAGGTACTCTTATAGCTTTTATTTCTTGTAACATTTAACTTTTAATTTTAATTATGCATGTAACTATTTTCATTCACAAATAATTTTTAATTAAGTGATTAATTCTCAATTTGTTGAATAATTTATTTTCACTAACAAAAAAAAATTATTTTTATCTTTTAATAGTTGGCAATTAATTTTAAGATGGTATTTGTTATTTGCAGTTTTTTTTTCTTTTCAGCTTTGAGTTTAATACATTTTTATATATAGCTAATTCTTGAATCAACAACTGCAATTTTGGGCAAAAATGACCCAGGATGCTTAAAAGTCCAAAACATTTGATGTAAATAAATCAACAGTTTTGTTACATCTTTTAACAACCAACATTGTAAATATTAACAATGTTTACTGACATAATTTTTTTACTTTCACTTGCCTATATATGTAATATATAGCAAGGGTAAGTATTGCAATCGAGAAAATTTTTAAATCTGAATTTTCGACGGAAATACACGTTTTGAGGTCCAAATAACCAAGTCCCGAAAAATGGTCTGTGAGTCTGTGTGTAAGTGAAAACTCCAGCTCGAAAACGATAAGTCGTACGAAACTAATATTACTTATTTAAGATATGTATATTCCTTAGATGTCCTAGCAACTTTTTCCCTAAAATCGGCTAACCGGAAGTGCCACTTTAAATCATCAGTATAAATAACACTTTATAAAAACATTCTTCTCAAAAACGTCTCTAATTTTTAGATTGGCGATTTTGTTTAAACTTGGTGTATCATTGCATAGTTAAGCAATCGCGAATACTATTTAGGTCTTATCTCCGTTGATGTCACTTTACAGGGCTTAAATGCCCAATGTTCATATACGTCTTCCTCTAAAGTACCTTTAATATGGGTCATTTCAAATGATTAACTATCTCTAATTATTAAAAGTTACGAAAAAATGTTAACTATAGCTTTTGAAAGAATTTGATAATTGAATTAAGGAGAAAAGGAAATACTAGTCAGAAGGTAAACGTATAACATATCACAAGTTTTCAATATATATATTCAAACATTTCACAGATAAGTTTATAACCTTAAACATATTTACTGTAGTTTAATACCTCTAGATCTGATAATATATTTAAATAATTAGGTATCTATAGTCCTTTTATTCCAAAAAATCATTACGTAACCTTTTAGAAAATTAAATTAGTGAATAATTTGATAAATTTTTCTTTTGCGACATACCAACGTAATCAGTGTGACAACTTTTGACCTGGCTAAGGCAGACTGCAAATCTTTCTTTTCCGTTTTAGTAAACTTTGCAATGGAAAATAACAGTTTAATAACTAATCGTCGTACAATCCGTAATCAACGGATCGTACAATCCATTATCAACGGATCGTACAATCCATAATCAACGGATCGTACAATCCATAATCAGCGAATCGTAAAATACATAATCAACCTTTGATATAATAAATAGGACTTTTGTTATTTTCATAGTATTTATGATTTGTTAGCTGTAATCTTTTAGCGTCAGCTCAGTTAAAAATGCAATTCAAAAATTTTATATTAGCCCAACATGGCCAGAAAATAATTTCTATTCAAAGTTGAGCGGTAAGTGAAAGTTGTGTTTTGCGCACACCAGATTTTTATTATTGTAGCCTAAAAATTTTGCAGTCCGTCGTTCGATATTTTTCACGCTCACGGTGGATTTTGTAATTTTTATTTGCCGGGTAAGTATCAAAATCGTGATGCCGATTCTAAAGCCAGAAAAAATAACACAGATTATTATCTCAACGTATAAGTATACGCATACTAAACAATAAGTATTAAACTAAAATATACCATTAAACTTATAATGATTTCCATTTCATCAAATCATTATGTACATCTAGTTTATGGAATATACTATAGGTGAATAGCTAAGGATCAACTTTAGAACCACAAGCTTGTCCAAAATGTCTCATTGTTTCCTTGTACATACTTAGTAGCATGTAGTGTTGTCAAGTTTCCAGGTATATTAATCTTACATGAGGGGTCGAAGCAAGTCAAAGCAGGAAGGTTTGCATTATTAAATACGGTGGGGGGAGAGAGGGAAGTCCTGGGATCGAAGGGAGGTAAAAGTACCTCCCAGGAATTAGTAAGAGTTGTTCCCTTTATTTTACAATTGCTAAACTATTAGTCCAACCATACAAAGCATGGAAGTAAAGAAAAGTTATGTATTGTATATACGGGATTGTGACGTTGCGTTATAAATAGAAAAAAGTATATGGCCTTAATTTAAAAAAAAATCTATTTATCAACATTTTTAAATAGCATTAGCTGAGAAGCGATAACTTCCATTTGCAATTATTTGACAATACGGACAAAAATTCGTTTTATACAATTAAAAATCTAAATACTTTAAAAAAATTTCAGTAGATAAATTAAAATACTGTAGTAAAAATAAAAATAGGCTGCATTTATTTCAAATAGGCATAAAATGAAATCCTCATATCGCTAAGAAAAAATCACTATTTTATTAAATATTATATTTAAATTTTTCGAAACTTCATAATCAAGTTAATTTCATTTAAAATAATTATGTTCTATTTGATATCATGAATACTGACCGGTTGATGTCTAGTATGATAAATTTCCCATTTTAAATCCGATTTAATAATATAATATCCAGAAATAATTATTTAATTGGTAATAAATACTGTATTCTAAAAAATATAATAATTTTTTAAAGTAGAAAATATAATTACTACAAAGCTATATATAAAGAT